AATGCATCTACATTTGGACCATCAAAATTATATACATCCAAACTAAACAATACAATTTTCATTGTTCAATTAATCTACTTACAAATTCTACTCGTAACTTACCATTTTCCATTCATTTGAGATATAATACTTTGATCTTCTGTATTTACTGTCCATTGTTGATTTTTTCCTTGACATTGTGCTTGTGGATCATTAATATGACATTCATTTAATACAATATTTGCAGCTTCTGATGTACTACAACTTTCTATTGATAAACATTGTCCATTAAACATTGATCGAATTGATCCATCTTGAGGATTGTATGTCCATTCCAAACGTTTTGGTTCGATAGTTGATGAAAGTGATGCACAATTAGTAACTATTACATCACTTGATGCATTAGGTAATTGTGATGATGCAAAGGCAACTTTCTTTCCTTGAATACCTAATGGATCTTGATTAACAGCAATTACTTCAGGATTTGTAAGAGTTGATAGAGTAGCTGCACTCATCTTACTAACATCACATCCAATGAGAAGTGGTGCTTTACTAATAGCCCAAAGGGAAAAATGTGTGATATATTCAGAATCAGTCATTCCACCATTTCCAACTTCAAGCACTGAATAAATATTGAATGATTGAGATTAGCAAACTAATAGATTATAACTTACTATCAGGATCATTCCAACCACCAGGTCCTGCGTTATCTGCAAACTCGTTATTCTAAATATTTAAAAAAGATATTAGCTAGAAATTTAGAAAATGAATGATAATTCTTACAATATCAATGTTATTGAGCATTGATTTCCAGCTGTCTCCTATATCTCCTGTTGTTCTCCAACTATTCCCAACATTTGCTGCCCACAATGCTGGTTTATCCACACCCCACTCTGTATATAAAAGTATACATCAAAAAAAGGAAGAAAAAAATAATGAATTTATGAATATACCACACATGGAATAGAAGATAGGTTTTCCACTAGCATTTAATGCATCTCGCATAACAGGATATCTCACTTCAGGAATTGTTCCATCAGTATTACAATTATCATATTTCAAATAATCGACACCCCATGAAGCATATGTATTGGCATCTATTGTTTCATAGTGTAGTGAACCAGGTCGACCACCACATGTTTTGAATCCAGCATCTAGTGCATAAAAGGAAATTATGTAATTATATTTTCATATACATATATATATATATAAATGCTGTGCTGTGACAATGTTACCCGAATAGAGACCGAATTTAAGTTTTCTTGAATGAACATAATCAACTAAAGCTGAAATACCACTTGGAAAAGCTTTTGGATCTGCTTGAATAGTACCTTGAGAATCTCGACTTACTTGCCAACAATCGTCCATATTCACTATAGGCAAAGCAGACACAATCAAGGTATTATTATAGAATATTTAAGTAAGACAAACAGACCATATTCATATCCAGCAGCAGCAAGACCTGTTGCTACAATTACATCTGCTGTTTGTTGAATTAGTTTTTCATTGATATTACATCCGAAATGGTTCCAACTATTCCATCCTAAAAATAAGATAGTTCCGGTAATTGTGAGATTGAAAGAAAACAGTGAGCTTTTCGAAAAATGTATTTTTGTTGCTTAAAATCTTTTTCTCATTGTGGAAAAACTTTCAGTGCATTAAAGTGTATGTTTTTAATCGGTTGAAAGTCGAATTTATATTCACAGTAGCTTTAGTTAAGTTAAGTTTTTTTTCATCATACCCATTTGAGGTGTTCTGCCTAGACCATTATTAATTTCATATGAATATCCGATAAAACACACAAGAAGTAAAAATATTGAAGCCACCATTGTTTTGCCACACAAATGATACGACAAGATTATTTTGCAAAAGTGTTTTGTTCTTCAATGTTTCATGCGGTTGATAAAAGAACTGTGTTCTAATCTCTGTGTGTCTACATCGGTATCTTTAACAAGATATGAATGTATACATGTGCATTTAATGATACAGCTTTGGTTCGTTTTGTTGCAGACAGTAATTCTGTCGAGCGAATCATAAAATGTGTTTTGTTCACAATTTCGAAAGAAAAAATCTCAAGTTCTTTCAGGACAAGCAAATTCAAGTTTTATGTTTTCCAATATGCTAATATCGGAGTCTGTATCAAACGTTGCTAGTCATCATTGTTAGAAATAATTGAAGTGAATTTAAACTTTAATGTTGAAGGATAATGTTTGTTTCAGTTATGAAATAAACAATTAGAAAAACAACTATTACAGTAGTACAATTAAAACATTACGATAGAAAAGAATGGTCATCTTCAATAGGCAAACAGATGTTTTTTGATTCAGTGTCAATAATAAATACGAAGATTTTGGATGGAAGGAAGGAATACCCGTACTATTGCCGGTATAGGATGAAGATCAAAAACTATATGTAAAAAGAAGAAAAAAGATTAAAATAATGATTAATTACATATACATATATATAATTATTTGGATACTAAAAACACACACATACACATCGAGAAAATCCAGGGAGGGAAGTTCAGTTTTGCTGTACTTTTTAGGTCGAAAGTCGTAGAAACTTCAATGAAGGGATTGCCTGCCACAGTGTCTCCTCTACATCTTGCGGATGTGGTTTTAGAGACTGTGGCGGAAAATTGATAGAAGGAATGTTAGTGTCGATGGAGTTACACTTTATTCTATTCCTTCATATCATATAATCGCCTTGTGACGATCGATGATACAAGGGATGTTAGTATGATTGGTGATACACATTATTCTGTTTCCTCATATCATACAATCGTACCGTTTACATATAAAGCACACACTTATATACACGAGTAGAATAAGAGAGGATGAAAAGAAAAAATGATGAGGTCAAGGAGCGAACACATAGAAAAGCAATAGAGTAAGAACATACCGTAAGAATAGATAGGTGAGCACAATGCATATAATATACGAGTGAATGATGATATAGAATGAGAAGCACATTACGACAGTAAGAAAATAATGTTCAATCATGCATAGATGAACGTAAAAGTAATGCGAGTGTGAACACTAGGTATTTTTGACTGTATAAGAACACGCTGAGAAAGAAAAGATATCATATAAGATAATGTGCCCATTGACACAGAGACATTCATCTAAAATCTGGTAATTGAAATCTCAGCCTTTCTAACGTGCATCAAGTTATCGTGTTCATACTTACCTTAATTCATTTTATGATTGTGATTGACATCTTATCACATGTACCTCTATGTATTTTCATTCCGAGTTTATTTTTACAAAAACGACTACAATTGTGACATTCATTTGATTTCTTTGTTGTTGATGGTGCCATCGTTGAAGTTGAATTTGGTTCAGTTGTTACGGTCTTATGGATTGCTTCTTTAGCACGCCATCGTAGTGCACGCTGTCTATAATCGTAAACTGTTTGTTTAATACTAGAGCCTGTCATATGAACTTGTACGGGTCCGCTGATGATCTGGTGCCTTTTGTTTCTATCCATGATATCTCGTCTCCAGTTGATACTATCGGATTGTTCAATATCAACTTTTATTTTGTCTTCATCTCTTTTTCTAATACCATGGTGTTGAGGTCGACGGGCACCTAGAAAATAAGAGGACATAAGTTTTTTTGCTAGCATTGGTTCATCGTTATCTTTATTCATCCTGTTTATATGGACAAACTATCTCAGCCTATTTCTTCTCATGATAATATCTAGCTGTACTTGTCCAGTAAGTTCTAATATTTTCGTATTTGATAGTTAATCTTCTAGATTTGCTCCAATGATTGTTCGAAGACATTTCATTTAAAAGGAATTTAATCGTCGTTCTTGAATATGAGTTAAAGCCCAGACTTCACTTTCATATAACAATATAGGTACTACGTTTCGTACGATATGCTCTTGCGCTGCCATACACAATATGTGAACGCGTTGAAGGCTACTGATGCCTTCGATATGCGTTTTCCAAGCTTCTTCACCATGGTTTGGTCTGCTGTTAAACAGCAACCAAGGTATATGAAGGATTGAGTATTTTCAATCTTCTCATTCCAAATCTTCATGCTGAAATCAGGTTGATTGACTATTTGTCTCTTGATAATACGACCAGTTGAATATTGTTGTGATTGTTTCAGGGATACAATGACTGCCTTCTTTACGTTCATTGTTAAGCCAAATTTTTGTGTTATAGTTTCAAAAGCCTGAATGAACTCTTCAAGTTCTGTCGTGGGTTCGCTCATGATAGCGAGATCTTCTGCCTAAGCCAGATCTAGAATACTTATTAATTTGTGTGGACCACCAGTGGGATGGTGAAAATCATGATCATATGCCATCTTGACTTCATTTGTTTTTGTTTCTTCAAGGAATTTTCTTAATATAAAGTCCAATACGATGTTGAAAAGAATAGGTGATTCCATTCCTCCTTGTTTGACACCTGTTTCTATTACAAAACCATGAATTCTTCACTTCCAATGCGTACCTGAGCTCTTGTATTGTTATACAGAAGCTGCAACATTTTGGTAACCTTTTCGGTCCGTCCATAATGTCGACAAATTTTCCATAGAAGTTGACGATTGACCGAATCATATGCTTTGCGTAGTCCGATGAAACATATGTATAATGGTTTATTGTATTCACATGATTTTTGCATGACCATTTTTAATGCGAAGATCTGGTCTATAGTCGATCTCTTTGGTCGAAATCCAGCTTGTTATTCGAGGAATTGTTTGTCGAGGACTGGTTGGATTCGGTTCAGTATGATTCGAGAGGATATCTTGCTGGTCACCATTAGTAATGATATACCACGATAATTATCACATGTTTATTTATCACCCTTGCCCTTGTACAATCGAGTCAGTATCGCAAGTGTCCAGTCGTCTACCATTGTTTATTTTGTCCATATATCACAAATTATTTCATGCAACCATTTCGCCGTTGTTATTCCTCCTGTTTTGAGAATTTCTGCTGTTAGATTATCTTTACCTGATGCTCTATGGTTTTTCATTTGTTTAATCGCTTCAGCAACCTTCTGTAACGTTGGAGGTTTTTCTTGCCGTTTCTTTTCAGTTGCATCAATATCTGGTGTTGAGATTTGTTGAATTAGTGTTGGATCTACATTCGTTGGTATACTGAAAAGTCCACAAAAAATATTCTCGTCATTGATCTAATCGTTCCGTAGATGTTTTTAAAAGATAATCGTCTTTGTCTTTGATTGGCATATAGATGTTTTGTTTGTTTTGGCCATGTAGACGTCGTATCATAGCATACGCGGTTGATGGATAATGTTGTTTGATTCCGTCTTCAATCCCCTGACTTATATCATCCCAATATTTCACCTGGCGCGTTTTCACCTTTTTCTTGATTAGCTTGGTGAGGCTGCGATATTGCTTCTGATATGTACTTTCCATTGTACTACCAATATGGTTTTGCCAATCTAGAAAAGATTTGTTTTTTGTTTGCTAAGTTCTTTGATCTCAACAGTCATTCACCTTTTATATCTCTGCTTGTGTTGGTCTTGTTTGAAGTATTTGTCACTGAGTTCTTGAACATATTTGACGAAGTTTTTGTACTTATTATCAATTGTCTGGTTATCCTTGGACGAGTCAACTCTCTTTTGTTCTAATTCTCGTTGCAATTTCTCGACCAGGTTCTCATCCTGAAACTTTTCCATTCCGTACATTAATCAATTCAGCCGTTGATGTTGTTTTTGGCTTTTAAGATGTAACTTAATCTCGGCGTGTAAGAGATGATGATCTGTACCAACAGCACCAGCACCATTTCGATGTACTCTTACGTCGTGTACGGTGGATCTAGATTTTCGATTGATTATCATATGGTCTAGCATATCCCATTGTTTGTTGCCAGGATGCATCCATGTACATTGATGTATAGGATTATGTTAGTAAAATGTATCTGTAATGATAAGATCGTTTATTAAGCAGAAATCAACAAGTCGTTTTCCGTTTTCGATCATTTTATTCACTGTATGAGCTCCGACGGGTCCATTCATCATGTTGTTGTTTGCTTGAACTCTTGTATTGAAATTCCCAATGATTAGCAACATGTCATTCTTTAAGGTGTCACGTACGACTTGTTGGAGATCGTTGTAGAAAGCGTCGAATAATTCTTCTTTTTGATCGCTTATACGACTCACTGGAGCATATATTGCAATTATTGTGACGTTAATAGGCTTGCATTTTGGACGAACTGTGACAATTCTTGAATTAATTGCTTTCCATATTGATCCAAATGTTTTCCATATCTGTATTGCATGTTTATTCAGGCATACTGAAACACCGTGAGCCTTCCGAGTTTTGTTGTCACCACTTGTATCAGAGTGAATGAAAGTGCAATTGCCAACATATGATATTCCAGAGTCGAACATTTCACATTCGCTGAGTGCAACTATTTGTACATGATATTTTTCCAGTTGATCCACGATTAATTCTTTCTTTGCACGTTGAAAACACGATCGAACGTTCCAATCAGCAAAAAGAACTGATTTGCATGTATTTACACATTGTTCTTGATCTTTTTCGTTAGTCAAAAAAGTTTTGTGTCCTGTAGATAGGGGGCTAGCCTAAGAAAAAGACAAGTTGGCTACCGGCAGCCCAGGGGCGCCTTCCTTTGCTAGCATGAGCATAGGACCCTGTAACTATTTGAAATAGCTTCGGCAGGCGTATGAAGATTTTGAAGATGATAGTATACATTTTCCTGCTTGAGTTTATATTTCAGAGAAATATCTTTTGATTTTCTTTTATTAAATCAGTTAAGCAATTCATTATTTAAATCTGTTCATATTCAGATGAAAATTTCTTATTGTTTAATATCTTACGCATGCTATGAT